TTTTTTTTTTTTTTTTTTTTTTTTTTAAAGTTGACAACTCGAACCATTGAATTGGATTTAAAAAATATTTCATCCAAAATAGCATGATATTGTTTACGGCTTCTCTAAAAGGGTGATACCAATAAAAATAGTATTCCTTCATTATAAACCTATGATCATTCTTTGAATTAACAGATGTGGGACTTTTATCATCCAACGAGGACAAATTAAATGAATTTGATTGGATTTAAACCATGGAACCAACCAATCGTTGACAAATTTAATTTAAAAATACGGAAATTTTTGGAGAGGGTTGTTTTTATTATTTTAAAATTGATTTATTTGAAAAATTGGGAAATATTTTTATAAATTTATGTTAATTTCCCCTAAAAGTCTATCTTAGTGTATGAATTTGACCTAAATCATTGAACTTTGACAGCCGACTTCAATTTTCTATATCATGTTCTTCCATTCAAATAAATTCACAAAAATTCAAAAAAAATAATTATGCACCATTATGTATATTTTCGAGTTGAAAAATATGTTGGAGTTTTTTCGATAATTAAAATAAAGAAAACAAGAATATTTTATCATAATTTTTAAGAATTAAAATATAATTCTTTTATTATTTTTGCTTGAATTGTAATAAGAAAAAGTAAACGTTAAGAAGTTGATTTTAAAGTCAAAAGCTCAAACTTTAAGCAAAAATAATGTTATTAATGTGTTGACTTTAAATATATATGTATATATTATAAAATTATTTTTTATTTCCTTGAGATTTTTGCATGGAGTCTCTCTCTCTCTCTCTCTCTCTCTCTCTCTAAGTGACTAGTGGGTACGTTGACTTTTCAAGTACAAACTTTAATTTCGAAGAAAATATCATTTAAATATATATAATATTTTACGAAATTAAAATCAAGAGAAACATTTAGAACAGCACCATTTAAACGACGGCGTTTACATTTCTAAATATTCGGTCTTTTTCGAATATTCTGCGTATTTCTTTTTTATTCTTTTGTTCTTTCCATACCTAGAGAAAAATAAACCAAAAATAGAAAAAAAGAGAGAGGCGGTTAAATATTCTTTTCCTACGACAATGACTGAAATTGGAAAATTTTATATTTGGGTATTTATTTCTTAATTATTTTAATTATTCGTATTAATTTCAAGACTTCTAAAAAGTAGTCATTTTCGTTCAAATATCATTATTTTATAATTAATTATTGAGTATATAAATGACGTAAATAATTTAGATAATTTTGTGTTAAATGGGTCGAATTTTATTTTAGTTATTAAAATATGTATTTTTTTAAGGGAAAAATAAAAACTTTGTAGGCTATTTATTTAAATTGCCACGGTGGAGGGTACTCCACAAGTTGGTGTATAATACAAACAAAGAACGGATATATCTCACCTTTCATGTGTCATTATTATTATTTATTGATTTTTTTTTTTTAAATAAAAGTCAAATGAAATGACCAATCAGAAGGCTTCTAATTAAATCCATACTAAAAAATTTGACCTTACTGTTAATAAATTTGTAAACGTGAGAGAAAAATTAGATAGACGGCCGTAGCACGCCGGTGGCTAATCTAAGATTTTGACCATAAATAAAAATCTCGAAGTTCAAATAGTTATGTATACTACAAAACACGGCTAATCTATAAAACCCATGTCGTTGAATAAAAAAAACTCGCAAAATCCATCGTGAAAGTTTAATGAGTAAATTGATAAGATTGAAAGAGCATATTGGTTCGAGTTTTTGGTTGGGTCGTGTTTACTTATGGGATAAGGAAAGGAAGAAAGAAAAAAAAATAATAAGAGAGACTTGTTGTTCGGCACATTTTATCCAAAGAGTTGACCTTTGAATTCCATGGAGGTAGTTTAGGTTTGATTAATATTTAATACCGAATTAAAATAAAGTCTTTTACTACGTCCGATATTTAGAAATAAATAAAAAAGCCAAGTTGGTGGGTTTAAAGGAGAAAGGGGTGCGTTGAAATTTGAGACTCGAAATCAGAGGTTTGTGATCGGCAAACGCCATGGCTTAGTCAAACACAGCCTCCTATCTTCTCCTCTCTTTAATTTCCC